TCTCTATATACACTGGAAACACCAAATCTTTATATTCTTATTGGAAATTGTGAGGACTCCAACCCAGGTCTATTCAGTTGCCTACACATGGATCTCTCAGAAACATGTCTAATTGAACCAATAAAAGCAAACATAATCATGTCCCTCTAAATTGTTCTTTTCTCCTGTGTGTATATCAACATGTCCTATCATTGTTTAACTGAGGAGCTCCATGAATCATTCCTGAATTCCACTCACTGTCTATATCCCGTACTACGTGAAAGCTTGTTGTCCACACTTCAGATTTTTTTTTATTGAGCTCATAGTTTCTTATACTTAGCCTCTCCTCCATTTTTCTCTCTCCTCTTACTACCACTGAGCTGGTTTGAATACTTCTCATTTCTTACTCATCTAGACCTTCCCTTCTTATTTTTCATTTTCCCTCTGAGCCACCATCCTCTTGGCTATCAGAAAAAAACCGGTTTCATCATGTTGATACACACTTGCTGGATCTTGTTACTCTCTAACTCTGCCTTTTCCATGATCTCCTCATAATTTTGGGAATACAATCTAAATGCTTCGGAATGTTATTTAAGACCCTTGCTCTGGCCCATCTGTCTGCCTGAATTTTGTCCCTGCCATGCCTGCTCCCACCCGATGCCATTTGTTGAACTGACCTGGACTTCAGCCATTCTGGCTACTTGTAGTTGCTGTGTGTGCCGTGTTTTGTATTCCCTCTGCCTTCATTTTTTCTTATTTGCCTTCTCAGTTTTGTCAAATTCCACTTGTCTTCCAAATTTCACATCAAGTAGCTATTAGCCCACAGAACCTTCCCTGTCTCCCTGCCCTACTACCTAGTAAACTCTAAGTGATTCTCTGTTGATCCTGAAATGTATCCCACTCATGGGATTCAGGACACATTACCCCAAAACATGATACTGAATATTTTAAGCTGAGGGAGTTTGAGAAATAGCGTGTGCATGAAGGACTTTCTGACCTTCCCCTCATAGGAAGGTTGCCTTCCCTAAACCCAGGGGAGAAGAACATTCTTATCTCTGAAGACAAGGGACAGAGACAAGACTGAATGAATAGGCTTTGTTAAGTTCCCTCTAGTTTACGATACATGGTTCATACTCTTGTCTCCGTGTATCTTCCCTACTTTCTACTCTTTATTGGATTAGCATAAGAATGCTCAGGTTTAACCATTTCTTTGGGTCCCCATTTCCTTATGAAGGTTCTCTTGTCATGTAAAATATGTATAAAATAGATGTCTGGTGTTTTTTTTTTTTCCTTAACTGCCTTTTTTTATAGGGGCCTTCTATTGTCCAAGCATTCTCTAAGTTAAGAACTTAAAAAGGTAGAAGAAAAAGATATTTTTCTTCCCCTACACCACCATGTTTTTGTTCTCTTCTGCCTTTTCCCTGCCAGATCTGATTTCAAGACCAACCACATTGTAAGGCATATATCTTTCATTTCTGCACCTGGTGTTTTTAGTATCTGTTGAATGGGTCAACAGCAAACAAAATCTTCCTTGTGGAGTCCTGTGTTAGTTTCTTATTATATGAAAGGGATATATCCTCTGTAATTTTCTCCAAGATTTCGTAGTAGTTTCTGGGGATATTTGATAAAATAGGGCTTAGTGAGTATATGTATGTACGTGACAGTTTACCCAGAAAGAGAAAGACTGAGAAAGAATCTGCACGTATGAGTGTTTTCCGTTGTGTAATTTTTCACTTTCATGATGAATGGGATCTTTGCTTATTTCTTAGCCATTATAATCTTCAATTCCAGGTTTGAAAGGCATAGTACCTATGAATTTTAGGAAAACCAGGTAACACCCCATATCTATGAAAAATTATCCTTGCTCCCCTGAAGTGTTCTTGACAGCTTGTCATTGATGGCAAGGAGACTGGAGAGGTCCTCCATTGCTTTCAGCCAAAATAAGTTAAACTCGATGAACATTAGCAGTGACAGTACACTCAGGTCTCAAGTTAGAATGCACATTTTGGATCACTTTAGTATAAATCAGAATTCAGGCATGAGGTAATTTTTTTTTTTAATATACTTTGTGTCTTAGTTTCTTAGCTAAAGGGATATATAACACTTCTTACTGTTTGTTGATGTTGGGAATTATTTTTAAGAAGAGCTGATTTATTGTCTCTGGGTCTTAGGACTTGTTCACTAACTGCTTGGAGAAATGAGATAGTCTGATGTGAATTAGCAGATGGCATCAAGGGGGCACCTGGGTGGCTTGGCCAGTTACGAATCTGCCTTCGGCTTAGGTCATGATTTCCACATCCTGGGACCCAATCCTGCTTCAGGATCCCTGCTCAGCCGGGAGTCTGCTTCTCCCTCTCCCTCTTCCTCTGCCTCTCCCTGCTCCTGCTCTCCCCCCCGCCTCAAATAAATAAATAAAATCTTTAAAAAAATGGTGTCAGTGCTCTTTGCTCCTGCCCACTCCCTAAAGTAATTTATTGTTCTGAATGGAAAAATGGAGCACAATTGTATTTATCTAATAATAGTAATAAGAATATTAGAATATTAATATATTAATAAGAATATTAGAATATTAGTTTGTATTTGTAGTATTTTTCAAATGGATTATCAGGAAAGAAGGATTTACTTTGTCATTCAAGCTCCTTCTGGCTGGATTAAGAATCACATTGACCTGAGTCAGATTATCTAGAGAAAATCAAATTTAATAGCATACCTGTGGGGAATCCATACAGACATGGAAATTCCAAAGGCGTTGAGGCTTATTTTATGAGCTGAGGAGGGGAGAGGGGTCTGAGGATACAGAGGTGAGAAACACCATTAGCAGGAAGGTGAGAGGAGATTCCCTATTAGGGAGATAAGTTTCTGAGGTAAAAATTAATCTCTGTTCATAGCTGTCTTCCTTACATAAGTAGGCAGTTGAGGGGGAGGTAAAGAGCTTTTCCTGAATCTACTGGGTTTTGATTGCCTTTGACTCAAAATCGTGTTCTTGCCAAAGTGGCCCATTTTGTACGGGCCTGCCCTTGGCCCCTACAATACGTACCAGCTTACATCAGGAAGTATAATATTAGAATAATGTGACAGCCTTCATTTTAATGGTTCTATAAATTTCTTTCCATACTCTCCTCCTGTTTTACTTATTTATTTATTTATTTTCTTGATAATTAAAAAAATTTTTTTTCTTGATAATTATTTACCTCTTAAGGTTATATTTATAAGCCTGGGTCAATAATTTGTTCTTCCTTATCTTCATTTGTGTGGAAGTATCACCAGCTTTTATGTATTTCATTAGTTAACTAGTTCACTTCACATGTGAGTCAAACCTCTGTGTTTTTCTTTAAAGCATTCCATCCTTTTTCTGTGACTGACTTTGTTTTCCTTGATCCTCTTTAGTTTATCAGTTTATTATCTTTTGTATGTTTATCTGCACCTCATTTAAATCCCTTTTTTACATTATGCTCCCCCCGCCACATTTAATTTTTTAAATTCTGTTACATTTAAATATATCTGACAAAAAGTTGGTAACATTGTATCATTCTTGGAATTCTTATCTTTCCAAGGAAAAGAAAGACAAACATGGTTAAATCTCATGATGGAGCACTAATGAAATACATAGTTAATTTTTAAAACAACAATTTCCTAAACCACTCTTAGATGTGGTCTCTTAAAGGTGGGAGGACACTTGGTCCTAATAAAATTTGAAGAAGTAGAATAAATAGGCAACAGATAGATACACATGTCATGCATATGTAGAGAGAAGTTCAAATTCAAATATAAGTCATTACCTACCATTCTTACTAGTGTTTTCTTATATTTGCATGGGCAGAAAAGAATACATATCATGTGTCTTTTTATAAATAAGAATGAATAAATGCAATATATGAAGGGATTACAAACTATATTGATTTGAATAAGGAACATTGTGTGCTCTTCGGTAATATCTCTAGTGACAGGAAGAAGTAAGACCATTGATTTAAGCTTTCCTAAAATGTCCTGATATCTGTAACTTGTATTTTAAGATCTCCATTTCATTAATCTGAAATATATACATGCAAAGGATTTGAACTGAAATCTTTCAATCATAATTTTAGTGCTCAGAAACATTCCTTTAAAACTTCATCCTTGAACTAAGAATTCAAATCTAAGAGTCTAACTAAGGAAATGAAATACTTCTAAGCTTTACGCCCTAAGATATTTGTTTCTTCATAATTCGTAGTGGTTAAAGCTGATGATATTCTATCTTTTAACAAAAAAGGATGGTCAAATATATTATGGGATATAAAGATAATGGAATATTAAGTGGCCATTAAAATACAGTGTTTATAAAATATTTGTAATGGCATGGGAGAATATTTATCATATGACCTAAAAGCAAACAGAGATGTGAATTTTACATAATATGCTTTCAACCATGTGAAAGAATTTTAAAAGACCAGAACATATCAAAATGTTTGGTGGAATACATCAAAATATTCCCAGTGGTTATCCCTGGGTGATGGAATTATGAGAAATTTAAAATTATTTATGTTTTCTTTTTTCAAATATTCTATATGTAGCACACCCTTGGTATTATATTAAGAATACTTACAAGCTAAAGGGTAAAGTTCAGTTTAGAATATTCTATTTTTTTAGAATATTAAAAATATTTAGAATATTCTATTTAATATAGTAATTAATTAGTAATTAATTATATAAATATATACTATATTATTTAATATAGTGATTAGTAATTAATTATTAATAGAATTCTCATAAAAATTAAGGAAACCTGTACCCTCATATTGGAGAAGACATCTATGGCATTTTCTTTTAGTTTTGTGGCATCTCAGCATCCTGAGAAGCTGACCACTGAAAGTTCATTGGTTTTGTAATTTGAAAGTGGGTTGGAAGGGTGGACATAGTAGGAACTTGGAGGGGGAAGAAAAATATAAAGGCAATTTAATGAATTATCTACAGCACGATTATAGTATGTGTGTGGTTTCAGTTTGCCAGAGATCTGATAGAATGTTGTCTTCTGATTTCTGCAGCATCAAGTCATGGGTGGATAAAATGCAGGAAGACCTGGTCACACTGGCGAAAACAGCAAGCGGAGTCAATCAGCTTGTCGATGTAAGTGACATCCCAAGAACTTTGTTCATCTTTTCCTTGATTTGAATGCTGTCCTACCTTCAAGGAACTGCGCTTCTTCCTCTTCTTTTTTTTTTTTTTTTAAGATTTTATTGATTTATTTGCAAGACAGAGAGATCACAAGTAGGCAGAGAGGGAGGCCGGGTTGGGGGGGGGAGCAGGGTTGTTGCTGAGCAGGGAGCCCGATGTGGGGTTCGATCCCAGGACCTTAGGATCATGACCTGTGCTGAAGGCAGAGGCTTAACCCACTGAGCCACCCAGGCGCTCCATAGGATCTACACTTCTATATTATGAATAGGACATGATTTTTCATGTGAATTGGGTAGTGGGATCAGACAAGGAGCCTTGGTACTGCTAGTTATTATTATTATTATTTTTTAAGATTTTATTTATTTGAGATAGAGACAGAGAGCGTGTGCGAGTGCAGGAGCTGGGGGGCAGGGGCAGAGGGAAAGGGGAGAAGCAGACTCCCCGCTGAGCAGGGAGCCCAGTGTGGGGCTGATCCCAGGACACTCAGATCATGAACTGAGCCAAAGGCAGATGCTTAACCAATGCTTAACTGGTGCCCTGATACTGTTAGTTATTGTGAACAAAAAAAATGCCGTTCCTGAACAATTCATGTAGTGTTCTCCACACACGTTACTGCTTACCTACAGCCTCTCCTTAGGTGAGTTCATGTGATGTATAGATTCCCCTAGAACTCATCTTGGGGTTTTATGTTCCTCTTCTTCAGAGTATATTTTAGAATAGCTCACGCAGTGGTGACTTGAGGTCCTGTGATGGATTCTTTTGAATATCCTCAGTGGGAACACATGTTCTTTCTTTGGGGGTAGATTTTATTTTTAAAAATGGTTGGAAAGTGTTTATAGCTATGTCTAGAGACTAGAGTGAGTCATTGAGATGGGTAATAAAGATTTTTGTGCAAGAAAAGAAGACACTCTAAAATATGGTTTTTCTTACGATTTATGAAATGGCTATGAGAGTCACTCCAAAATGATTCTTGAAAATGATAGCAACATATAAATGATAGTAGAGCATCTTACATAGATTATTTTCCCCAGATAAGAGTGTTTATATGTGTAGGTTTCACAAGATTTAAAAAAAAAAATAATTGTCGGGGCGCCTGGGTGGCTCAGTGGGTTAAAGCCTCTGCCTTCGGCTCTGGTCATGATCTCAGGATCCTGGGATCGAACCCCACATCGGGCTCTCTGCTCAGCAGCGAGCCTGCCTCCTCCTCTCTCTCTGCCTGCCTCTCTGCCTACTTGTGATTTCTGTCTGTCAAATAAATAAATAAAATCTTTAAAAAAAATTGTCATTTCTTTAGAGTCTCACTACTTGTTTTCCAGTTCTAGCAACAATTTGAAAGTACTTTTATCTTGTGTTCTTTGTGATACAATGAGACCTTTTGTTTTCCAAAAATGTGATGAGTCATAGAGGTGAGATATGGTATAAAAGTCAATTCATGGAGGGTATATGAATATTTATCATAGGAATATATATATGTTAGTATTCTTCCCTGGGAGACACTGAAATGTATGGTTACCTCATGTATTGATTGAACTTTATGAAGAAACATACCAAAGTATGTTCAAGAAACTTAAGTATTTGTGAGATAAGGAAAGTTTTGGGACGTGAAAAGTGTTCTTTCTGAATAACAGTGACTAAATGTAATTCTAACCAACACTTATTAAGCACAGATTATGTCTCAGGCTCTGTCCAGGCTGCCAAAAGCTGACAGAGATGCAGTTCCTCTCTGTAGAGGACTGACACTGTAGGACTCAAAAATCCCCCTTTGGAGTGTGAAGATTCCTGAAAGCTACTGTAACCTGATGCTTGGGGTCCTCGATGATTGTCCTTACAGAAAGAGGTGTTAAAATGTCAAGTTGGACAGGATAATAAAGTGAGCCTCTGTCAAAGTGATGGAGTTTGTGGAAATGAGAAAAAAAGAAATGAGAATTGGCAGATTCTGGTTAGAAGTTATATGACTTTCTTTATTGACAGCTTGAGATTAAAAGTAAACTGCTCTTGGGAGCTCTTCTTCCCTCCTCTCCACTGTTTCTGTAGCCTCAAAAACCACTTTCTTGGCTGACCTCACTTCTCCTTTTGATGTTCATCTGTGAACCGTTTTATTGAACCTGCTTTTTGCAATGAATCACTTAAAAAAAAAAACTCACCTGATTTCCATTATGGTTTGTCAAGTATAGATTACTAAGAACAATGCAAATCTTGAATGAATAAATGGCCTAATCTGAATTAGGATTAAAAAAATAGAATGGACAGGAAGAAAGAAAATCCCCACAATGTTCTGTTTATGAGACATGTACCTAATAAAGTGACAAATAAAAAATACAAATAGAAAATTGTATTTTATGTAACAAGGAGCACAGAGAGTGAGCAGAATCTATTATTGGAAAAAGAATTTAAATACTGAGACACACGAAGAGTGTTATTTTGTATAGATAAATGATTCCATATGCCCCTTTCCTTTTGCTTAGAAAGCAAAGGTCCATGATGGAGGCCAAAGGGTTGCGTTTCTTTTTGGCCATGAAAACCTAAAGCACAGAGTAGCTGAAGGGCACCAGAGTTGAGAGTGACTTTATGCAGAGTTTGGGGTTATGAGGTGCACAGTGAGGATCAGAAGTTGAATAGAGAAATTTAGCAGATTCCTAGGTTGATATTTAATATTGTAGAAATGATAATTCTTCCCAAATTATTTAATGGAATTGTTTCTACTGGAATTTAGTACAGCTAAGTTTTTACCTAAAGGCAGCATAGCTAAAATCAGACATCTTTCCAAGTTTATAAAAATGGCTTTCTAGCGTCCTCAAACACTAGCCCAGGGAGGGTTGATAATAATTAAGGCATTGTGTTAATTTAAGTTGGACATTGTATTACTTTGATACATTTATGTATTGCAGTATGGTTATAATGATATGTCATATTACATACCTTTAATACATTATTATTGTCTGTTTTTAACGAACTGTACAAAGACTTTCAGATTATTTCTTCTATTTCTTGAAAAATGCCTTTTATATTTTAATGGGAGTTGAATCTCCAGAAGGCTTTGAGTGGTATGACTGTTTTAACAAAGGGAAGACATTTTATTACTTTTTTTTTTTTTTTTAGATTTTATTTATTTATTTGACCGACAGAGATCACAAGGAGGCAGAGAGGCAGGCAGAGAGAGAGGAGGAAGCAGGCTCCCAGCTGAGCAGAGAGCCCGATGCGGGACTCGATCCCAGGACCCTGGGTTCATGACCTGAGCTGAAGGCAGAGGCTCCAACCCACTGAGCCACCCAGGCGCCCGACATTTTATTACTTTTAAACATAAACACACTGGGGTACCTGGGTGGTTCAGTCGTTAAGCTTCTGCCTTTGGCTCAGGTCATGATCTAAGGGTCCTGGGCTCTCTGCTCGGCAGGGAGCCTGCTCCCCCACCCCCTTCTCTGCCTGCCTCTCTGCCTACTTGTGATCTCTCTGTCAAATAAATAAATAAAATCTTAAAAAAAAATAGAAATAAACATACACACACACATAGACATACAAATTCCTGTAGCTGGCAAATGGAGAGGCTGATCATTATATATTAATGAAGAGATAACATTTAAAAAAAATCAAGATGGTCTAAATCTTAGAAATAAAGTCTTTTTTTTTTTTTTTTTTAGGATTTATTTATATATTTGTTAGAGAAAGAGCTCCAGCACAAGCAGGGGAGGAGGAGGAGCAGAGAAGGGAGAAGCAGACCCCTAACTGAGCAGGGAGCCCGAGGCAATGTGGGACTTGATCCCAAGACCATAGGACCATGACCTGAACTGAAGGCAGACACTTAACTGACTGAGCCACCCAAGCGTCCCGGAAACAAAGTTTTTAACTTTATAAAACATTTACCAGCAACCATTTTTCTCATATAATAAGTTGATAAAATATTTCATGTAAAGATGTACTTAAATTTCAACCAGTATCTAAATTGTCAGGTATTCTGAATTAATAGGTTCTATAATAATGAATTTGTTTTATGAAAAAGATTTTTTTTGCGGGGAGAGGGAGAGAGAGAACGTGCACACATGTTGAGGGAGGGACAGAAGAAGAGGGAGAGAGTTTTTTTTTAGGATTTCATTTATTTATTTATTTGAGAGAGAGAGAGAGAGAGCGGGAGCAAGCAAGCAGGGTGGGGAGGGGAGGGGTAGGGACAAGCAGACTCTGCTGAGTACAGAGTCCCATGCAGGGCTTGAAACCAGGACCCTGAGATCGTGACCTGAGCCGAAATCAAGAGTCCAATACTTAACTGCCCGAGCCACCCAGGTGTCCTTGAGAGAGAGAATCTCACGTAGCCTCCGAGCCCAGCTCGATCCAGATGCTTGATCTCCCAACCCTGAGATCAAGACCTGAGCTGAAATCAAGAGTGGGCTTGATGGACTGACAGAGCCACCCAGGTGCCCCGTGAAAAACTTTTTAAAAGATGGATTGATAAGTACAGACTACTGTTTGCTTTTCTGTAAAATCCACTTCGGAATCTTCAAACGGGGCAAAACAAAATAGAACTCTGCAAAGAGGTCAGAGATCCTCAGCCGCCCCACTTGAGAGGTGCTGCTCCATGGAGGGGGGTGGGCAGGGGAGCAGATCATGATACTGCAAGCAAATCACGAGCGTCTAGGAATTTGTTGTCTCTTTTGTTCTCTTTCTTTGCACTTCCCCCTTTCCCTTTAGGAATCCAAGGCTTTCTCAGGGCCTCCTCTTTATTACCAAAAAAAAAGGATGATGGTTTTCCTTCACATTAAGTCTATAGTAACTCTTTCGTCCCTAAGCAGAACAAATTTGATACTAGGCAGCAGTATGAAGACTGTATTTTGAAAGAGGTAGAGTTTTTCCAAATAGGTCATTCCAAGTACATCTCTTTTCCCTGATGGGGGTCAGATGGGGTGGGGGGGACCCACAGAACCGGACTGAGGTGAGGTACGTGATGTACAAAGGACACAGAA